ACTAGTGGGTTATCATGAGTTTCCGCTGACTCAAAAACTCTCTGATTCCTCAACTGAATGGATTGCATGGTTCTTGCGAAATGAAGCCATCTCTGCGGATGGCTTCATTTCGCAAGAACCATGGAGCATTCACTGGCATCATTAAGATCTTGTTTTGCAGTTTTTCCAAAATGGAAAGATTAGTCGAAGCGGTTTGTCCCCAAGTGCCTACAGCATACATGATGGTAGGCTTGAACATCGTATTATATAGTTAAACCTTGTTCTCAATGTTGAGCTGGATTTTCTATTAGAAGATAGAGCTTAGCTATCCTCATTTGAACTTTGCTGTTAATGGTCTGAACGTGATGATCCCACGATATATCATAAGTTCCAAATACATAACTCAAGACTGCCACTCGATCTCCCTGCCTGAGTTCTGTCTGGATTCACTCGGATCTTCCAGTCAAGGTACCAGCGTTCAAAGTCGTCCAATGCACGTTGCATATAGTCGACCTTCAACTCACGACCACTAGAAAAGGCGAGAAGAGCCGTATTATCAGCGTATAGGGAAAGGCTGTATAATAGTGAAGCTCCCTGGGGCAGTCTAACTTGGATTTCCCTAGAGAGAAAGGACCTAATCCGCCGGACTAGGCCCAGAGGCAGGTTAAAATTGGGAATTTTATGTAGTATTTCATTCCAGACATGGTCGAAGACCTTTAAGATATCGAGGAACACTGGATGTGCAGTTTTCCTCCTGTTCATCTCTGAGATGGAATTTTTGACCAGTCTCATGTGGTCGAAGCTTGGTGGTCTATATTCAGTATCAAAACAGTATTACTAAAAATAGAAGAAAAGATGCAACAAACTTGTGGTCAAACAACCTTCCAAAAAACGTTTTGATGTAACGTAAAATCTGTCAAACTTTCAGTAAAAATTTTGCAGAACATACATTTTTGTTTGAAGAAGCAAGTGAACATGTATTTAATGATTTTGAATATTCACTTGAAAAGTTATCAAAGAAAAACATTTTTCATTTTGTAACTTCGAGGGCCCGTAACTTGGTTACGAAGACTTTTAGGAAAAAAAGTTATATGAAGTACTGGTGATATTTTGACCCCATCTATACATTCCCGAGAGGAAAAGAGGAAGTCCAGGGACACCCTGTATACTCCTGATCTATTACACGGAAGTTTTGTCTTCATTGTTTTCAATAAATTTACTTAAACTATTATTCGTTCTGTATGCCACACCCAAGAACCCCTTTTTTCAAAAACGAACGATATCATTGGTGGGTTCACCAATGGGACAGTCTTATAGAGGACGCTATCGTTTCTTGAATTTGGGTAGACCTGCTCCGTGGCTTGTTTTTGTAGTCTTTTGGAAAGACTGGGGTCAATAATATCTATCTTGTAACCATTGTTGACCGCGATTGGTTCGATGACACTCAGTTCTCTCTGAAAATTACTTTCCGACAGTGGAGACTGTAACCTCGAAGATAAGCCCCGAAGTAGTTGACTCATAGTATTCCAGGACGAGGATTTGAGGACCCCGGTGAAGACTAATTCATCACAAACGGTGCGTGGGATGGCGGAAGAACTGGGCGTCAGGTCAAAAAGCTCAATAAAAGAGTACCCCACAATTTGAACGATCGACAAAAATTGTCACATTTCGAGGTCTGTTCTTCTTTGCTTTCGCGTAACCAAAGTGATCCTTTTCTGGATCAGATCGTCATGTGTGATGAGGAGTGGATCCTCTACGACAACAGAAGATGTTTAGGACTGTGGTTGGACACCGATGAGCCACCCAGGTACTTCCCACAGAGGAAAACTAACCAAAAAAGACCATGGTTAGTGTATAGTGGTCAGCGGCTGGTGTGATTCACCATAATTCTGCAACCGGGTCAAACTACCACAGCAGGTTCCTATTGTGAGAAAATCGACGAAATGTACCGTCAACAAAGGAGGTCTGCCCGTCCGCGAATTTCACAAATTTCCGTCCAAAATCAAACAAATGGCGCGTCGAAGTTCTGCCTTACCTACCATAGTCTCCAAAGCTCTCGCCAACCGACCACCATATTTTCAAGCACTTCAATGAATTTCTCACCGGTAGAATCTTCGCCATCAGTGCCAGGCAAGCAATATTTTCGTCGACTTCATCGAATCACGAGCATACCATTTTTATGCTGACGGAAGTAATCGACTTGTACTCGTAAATTGAATGAGTTTTCACTATGATATTACAGTTTGAAGTAGACTCATAAAAACGGACGAAACTTTTGAAACAACCTAACTAATAGAAACATGAGGAGATGTGATGTTTTGGATTTCGGTTCGAAGTATTTATTTCCCAGTTCGTCTGTATTTCTTTACAACATAGTCATCAGACTGCAGAACTGGACCTGATATTTCGATTTGTTTTGACCTGTACTAGTCGAGGGAAAACAGTAGTTTGGTTGTTTTGTTATAATATTCCTAATTCTCAAATTTTCGTAATGTTTCTTATAGACATTTCTATAATTTTAGGTTATAATTCGTCTGTTAACCATTTGTCGACAAAACAAATGCCGAATTGAAAGCGTTACTACCAAATTCTCAATTTCTCTTCGTGTTTCTCAAAAACTCTTACAATTTTAGGTTATAATTTGGCTGTTAACCATTTGTCTGACAAAACAGAAGCCGAATTGAAAGCTTTACGTGGCAAACAATACACTGGGGTATATAATGGTGGACAACCCTTCCCCTATGAAGATGCCGATTCAAACCATGTTCCGCAGCAATGGGATTGGAGATTATATGGAGCCGTAACTCCTGTTAAGGGTGTGTACCATTTCTTCGACATTTTTTCCACAATTGACTATTTATTTAAATTGAAAGGGTCATATTTTTAGGAGTGATTCATTTTTGCGAAAGACAGTTTTTAGCTTTCTACTACTCCATCTTGATACGCAAAAATGTGGGAAACTCCCAAAGAAAGGAAATTTGTGTCTAAAAGTTACTTCTTTGCATGATCCATACATCTATGTATAAAGTTACTTTTTTTAAAATGTATTGCTTCCTTCCTTTCTTTGGAAGTTTTCCACATTTTTTTGTATTAAGATGGAATAGTAGAAAGCCAAAAACTTCAAAAAATTACAAAAAATAACTATTTGTATTTCAGACCAGGCAGTTTGCGGTTCATGTTGGTCCTTTGGAACAGTTGGAGCTGTGGAAGGGGCGTATTTTTTGAAGAACGGAAGGAAACTGGTGCATTTGTCCCAACAAGCCCTGGTGGATTGTTCTTGGGGGTAACTTTATGGAATCTGTAGAAACTAGGTTTATTTATTTGTTATTATTGTTATTATAGTTTTGGAAATAATGGATGCGATGGTGGAGAAGACTTCAGATCGTATCAGTGGATGCTTAAACACGGTGGAATACCAACTGACGAAGATTATGGTTCATATTTGGGTCAGGTAATACGACTTCACTCATGAGCAGAATCGCATCAACACTGGGTTTTGTTAAATTTTTCAGGATGGTTTCTGCCACGCTGAAAAAGTGCCAAAAGTTGCTGCAATTAGTGGTTGGGTTAACGTGACGACAAATGACAAGAAGGCTCTCAAACTGGCTATTTTCGAAAAAGGACCTATCAGCGTCGCTATTGATGCTAGTCAGCGTACGTTCAGTTTCTATTCAAATGGAGTTTATTATGAACCAAAATGGTGAGTATGAACCCGAAGGCAAACCCTCGATGAAATTATCGATCGTCAAAAGTCAACAATCGGGAATACGAGTATCAGTGGTTTTATTTTCGCACTAAAATATAGTTATCTTACGGTTGCATGCTTTGAATATTGTTAATTACCTGCATATGGGCCTATTTCCAAGGAGTACATGATAAATATTTGATTTCATAGATCGGAAAATTATATACTGTCACATAACATACTTTGAAGAACGGCCGGAATAACAGAAAATTGTTGAAACCTCTGCAGATGATATTTTAGTACTTTTATATACTTCCGAGAACCTTGGAAGTTGGAAAATGTGTCATCAATATCATGAACAACAATAAAGCTCATATTCCATGTCAAATCATCCATAGGATGTCGGGAGGTGAGGTTTTACAAATTTTTCATAACGGAAACGTTACATTTTTCCACTTCCTAGTACTTCCTCAAGATGTCTTGTAAATATCGTTAAGATAACACGGAAATCACTAGGTATATATTGGGGATCAAATTATGCAATCTCGAAAACATTCTCCACCTGTCAAGAAGATAAAACACGGATCTTATTAGATCACGCCTGGAATTATTTCATTCTTACATATGCGGAATGTATTATAGTATTTTGTTCCATTGTGGTGTGGTGAATATTTTTCCATGGCATGGAACAATATCCCTGGTTCATGTCACTTCAGAAAACATCTCATGGTTGTGATCAGTATTCAATGACGTCTAGACTTTTGACAGTTGAATCAAATCTCAAAATGGCTGTAGCAGTTGTAATGAATGTCTTACACACAACCTTGGTGTCCTTTGAAATTTTACCTGCTAATATTATTAGTAATAGTACTGTATTTTTTTTCAAAGTATCGTTCTCCGGATATATTAACACACATCATTTTATCAGTCTTCGAATGTTGAAAGAAATTGTATTTGAACTTTCAAGAAGCGAATCCACTCTTCCAGGAACGAAATAACTGAAAACCAAACTATATTTTGCATAAATAGTACAAATGTACCTGTAGTTTTATTTTGAACATTCTTACAACATATTTGATAAAACGTTTTCAGCACTTTATAAACTACAACGAATAAAATAAAGCAGAAACTGACAACTGACGTAACGTAACGTCAAATTCCGTTTCAAAACCAACCTCACGTTAGCTTTGAATCATCATGAATAAGTTTCAAATCATAGTTGATGTGACGTCATCGTTTCAACGCCAGAGTGAATGTATTTGAATCACAGGCACATGCACCGCTCTCAGAGCACCTCGAGGATTTTCCTGTAGGGCTTGTGTTTTGTCCATAAAAAAACAGACGAATACGTTTTGAATACATGAGCGCCAGAAAACGCCTATTGTACTGTTTCAAAGAACAATATCGACTCAATCACACTGGAACAAAATGGATGTGAAACTAACTCATTTCTCTTCACATCAAGAGAGAGAAATCATACAGAAATCAGACATTGAAACAAATATTTTGGAATGAACTAATGTGCTTAAAAATTTTAAGACAAAACTGAATTTCATTCTTATTCTGATATACTTGTAGAAACACCCAGATGAATTGTGAAAAATACGCTATTTACAATTTTCAGTGGAAACAAGGATGAAGATTTGGACCATTCAGTTTTAGCTGTTGGTTACGGAACAATTGATGGTGAGGACTATTGGCTGATTCGGAATAGTTGGTCGACATATTGGGGAAATGATGGATATATTCTGATGTCAGCTAAAAATAACAATTGTGGGGTCATGACTTCTCCCACATACGTAATCATGGCATAATTTATTGTCAAGTCAGTAATTGTTAAGTATCTTGAAATATTTATGTACTGCGTGAATTAAATAAGTATAAACCAATTTTTGTTTTCATGAAAGACAGAACTGTGCTGTATATGTAAGAGATCGTTTGACAAAAAAAATTTCCTAAAATATCAAATCTGAAACATTCACTTCTTCCAACTTTCCTACAAAGTAATATCTAGAAAATAAAATGAATGCTTCCTTGGTTATTACCTAGAAGTATATTGGGTTACATCTGACAGATCGACAGCAGAAATTCTCGTATAGATGATTCTCGTTCGTTTAGCAGGAGAATAAAGGTTTCCTACGAGCGGTGCAGTGATGAAGTTTCATATTAGAAGTACCTACCAGAAGGCAGTGGCTGTCTTTGCTAGATCTGTCCTGCACTGATGAGTATTGCTTCGAAACTGATTGTAGATGATCATTAAGTTACCTTAAGTGGGAACCTGCTGCAGGACAAACGGAAAGTTTCTGCAAGGGTTTTCCCCGTCGGATTTTTTTCTGTTTATTAAAACGATCTTCAAGAGTACATGAACGAATGTCGTAGTTACGTGTACGTATAACACGTCAATAAGGACTTTAAATCCAGATGTAAATGATGTAAATGACTGAAATAGTTCTTATTCATTCCAAAGGTGGTGGCTGGATTTTGAAATTATTCCCGGCATCAACAATTCTCTGCACTTATTGATATTCATGTCTGTTGCAGAGATTTACTTACGACATTTGAAAAAATATGTCATATCAAACAACCTATGAAACTAGCCTCATGAGAGACTTGTAAATCAGTTTTACAAATAACAATACCCAAATTAATTGAACGGTATATCTTTCTAACGTGTGTTATCGAGTTTTTTTGTGGTATATAATCAAAGTGATCAGTTAGAATTTTTTATCGATGAACGGAAGCTAAAAATAATGTGAATAACCTCTGACAAACGACAAAGAGATGTATATCCATCATTCTCTTTGAACTCTCCTAATAACCCTGACCCCCCTACAATCGTTCAGTTTCAATCTGTATTTATTTAAACTTCAATAATTTCAGTCAATTCCTCACCAGTTGACCCATTGAAATTTTATCGTAATCTGATAATGAATCATCAAATCGAATTGTCAGTGAAAGGTAAGGCCACTACTGATACACATTCGTTTCTATTCCAGACGTAGATGCCATATTCAGGTCTTGTTTTTTTGTGATATATTTATTTATATTCATAAGATTTTTTGTTTTTTGAAATTCCTTTCTTTTCTGCTTTCCGTTTTCTATGTTTCGGCCTATAGATGTTCAGACATTTTGTACTAATCATTTAATCAATAAAAAATTTGAGTGACATTGATATAGCAGCAGAATATTATATTTTAAAGCTCGTGTTTGTACGAAAAAATCACGATCGTCCACTCGATCCCTCGAGGGTCCATATAATTTCCCTATCAATATTTCATCAAGATAGTATAATTAATCTTCTACCCCGCCCCAACGATGAAAACAAACAAACAAGCGTGGACCGTATGATTACTGCATCTTTTTGTTCGAAATAATTGAAATGTGCACCGATGTAACAAATGAGAATAAGATGAGTGTATTCTGCTTCGTCAAAAATAACGCCAACCATTTTCAACTAATATGTTGAAATTTTTGATTTTTCTGATTTTTGAGCACGCTATACATTTTTCTCAAATTCATTAGTGCTAAACTGACCCCAAATTAGGATTTATCGATCAGAGTTTTTCCAGATTTTCAACTTTTTCTCTCCTTGGAACTTGGAACACGCTTGCAAATTTTCTGATTTTTGCTATACATTTTTCTCAAATTCATTAGTGCTAAACTGACCCCAAATTAGGATTTACCGATCAGAGTTTTTCCAGATTTTCAACTTTTTCTCTCCTTGGAACTTGGAACACGCTTGCAAATTTTTTGTCTACTATTCCAAATCAATTTTCGACTCAAGCCATCTTCAAAAAAAAATTACTGCCAATGAATTGAACGCATTGAAATAATTCCGAATAAATTATATAACTTATTTCACCCTTTTTCAAATACTGAAGAACGCCGCTTATGTTAGGTCGCTGACGTTAGGTAAGAACTATCGACCACAACACATGTAGAGTTTACAGAGAGGAAGATGACATCCCAGGCGTCCCTTCCATGCAATAAACTCATTCGTTTACCTTTCCCCATTCTTCGTAATCTGTCATTTACTAATCTGCCTCATCTAGTGGATTCGAACACTTTTGCTTCCTCTTTGTTTACATTCCCAAGAAATGAAATATCTACAATAAATGAATAAATAAACATTTGCTGACCTAAACGGTGTTATCGCTGAACCATAATATCTTGTTGAAATATTATTTCCATTGGATGAGTAGACTCGAATGGTGTTGGAACGAAAATGGGACCTATCACTAAACTATTTATAACAATTATTCTCTTTTTCGCTGCGGCTTCAGGTGATTATAAGTATTTTCCAATTTGCATTCTTTTACTAGACAACTATTTACCATTTTAGCTTCGAAGGTTCCAAAAGATCCTCCAATTTGGAGCCAAACTTACGCAGTGAAAGGGGTCCTTCACATTCCCTATGCTGAAATAGACGAACCATTTTACGGTTGGTAAGTACTATAGATAAACGGAGTAATTGCAAATGCACAAATTTTCAACTGAAATTATTAGTATGAATCGAGAAATTAACTCAGAACCACCCAAACCTAGTTCTTGTATCTATATAAATCTCAGGGCCGGCTTCGCCTAATATGTATGTCCAGGTCCGTCTTAAGTTTTTATACTATCCATATGCACATGCAGCATAATAAGGTTATTTTTCATACTGCAATCAAAATTAAAATTTGTCTAGCTGCAGATTCCGAAATTAAACTAATGGAACTATAAATTGCACCCAATTATATGAAAATTCTTGAGATTACAGTGCCAAAAAGACAATGTGACCTTATCTAATAATTGGTCAAAATATTGTTACATTTTTAAAAGTTTTTAATATCTCGCTTTAGGATTTGTTCCTAACAGACATGAATATACAGTGTTGCCACTCAAGATGAAACTTCAAAGATTTTGAAATTCTAAACAAATGGACATATTGCAATACTTATTGCAATATTGCAGTACATATTACAATATAAGAAATTACACGAATATTTCCATTAAATGGAAATAGCACACATTGCTTTAAATTATACACATTTGGTGTAATTTCACGCAAAACGGAGGCACTGGAAAATACTCTAGATCATTAAGTAAATAGAAGATATGCCTACTTCCAAATAAATAAACCATTGAAAAAAAGTAATGCTTCTTTTGAAGGTATGATGGTCCTTCAAAACAGTCCCGAATTGATTACTACGGAGATATGGTAAAAACCTACCAGTTGGGATCCGAAGGTTATGGTACAAGTTTGAAAATAGCACCCATTACCACCGAGAATGAAATAAATGTTAGAACTTGTCTGGAGGTCAACGGAACTGAGGAAAATAAAATTGAACCCCAGTCGATTTTACCTTCCTTAGAAGGGTTTGAGTGTGTAGGTGAGTTGTCAAAAATAAAAGGTTATGAGATTGATAATATTTCCTTCTACATTTAACGACTGTCAACCATAAATTTACAGGGGAGGAAACAATTGATGGAGTTGAAACCGAAAAATGGACCCTTACCCAAACGATAGGACAAAAAGTGAATAAGTACACAATGTGGATTGTGTATAAACCTAATCCAGATAATTATACCTCTAAAATTGCTGTTCCACTAAGGTAAGTGATAGTGCTAAGGGTTTACTTGGCCTTACTTTTGGCCTTACTCCATTCGGTATTAACTGAGAGTGAAAGAATTTCAAGAAGGCAAATATGCCAGTATATCAAAGAAAGCAACTTGTAGTCTCAAGCAAGTGGCAGTGCAATTCATCCACAAAGTCACTGAGATATTTATACCCGTTATGACCCTTGAGGACGCCACTAAGGTGACATTAAAACAGTGACTTGCGACAAAAAACTTCAAAAGAGGCGGCCGACTCTGTTTACCATATTGCCTTAAAAAAAGTATTAATAGGCGTCGGACTGATGATATCAATATAAATTTTCCAATGATGTTTAAAAAAAATATGTTTTTCCATTAACCAGCTGTCGCGCCCCAACGAACGACAACCCTCAGAAGTTAAAACTAAGACAAGAGTTGAGAAGCTAGTTTCTGACTTTCAGATTTTTCCCGGAGGCTTTGACTACGTCTTAAGAAAAGTTTTTCGGACATATAACCACAGATTAGTTCTGTTGGCAACTCTCTTGAAAGTTTGGACAAGTAACATCCTTATCGATAAATATTTATTCTTGTTCATTTGATACTGATTTATCTTTGATCAATACATATTGACTTTTATCATTCAGTGGTCTTGAAAGGAATGAAAATAGCTGTTATCATTCTCAAAGAGTAACTGCGAATGTTCTTTCTTAAATCATTGGGACATACAAATAATTATCTTGTCGGTTGATTTCAGGTACGAAATGAGGGGATTCAATTCCTTGCTTGGCAGTCATTATGACCATTACTATTTGGAATATGATCTCTATGATATCAGTGACATTGCTCCATCAACATTCCGCATTGACTCTAGTAAGCCAAATTTTTGTTACGCACAAGAAGTATATTTCCATCATCAGTTTTCAAGAAAAAAAATTTGAATTGAGAACTACTACTATTATTATTATTATTATCCGGTTCACTACTGGATCAAGTATACATTCATTATTCAAATGAAAAAAGATAGTATGTTTCTTTTTGTGAAATTATTGAAAAAGATCTCAAATTTGAATGTAACAACATTTTTGAAAATTATTTATTTCAGTCTTATATACTCACAACCCCATTATCTTATTTCTGTNAAAACTATGGTTACTGTATATTATTATAAATTACATGGAAGATAGAGATAGAACAGAGACAAATAATATATTTTTCAAAATACAGGTAAGTAATTTGAGAAACGAAGGTTTTGGGCTTTCTACTTCTCCATCTTCATGTAAAAAATGTGGGAATCTTCCAAAGGAAGGAAAAGAGCAATTATTTTCAAAATAAATTTTTCACAAAGATGTGTATATCATATGTAACTTATATAGATACTTTTTATAGCGATTATTTCCTTCAAACTGATAAAATGCGATGAGACAGACAGCCATGAAATCAACATCTAGGAGTCATTGTTCTTGAATTATACGTGACTCTCAGAGTTGTGCATCTTTCTCACAATTCAAAAATAAATTCCATATCTCAAATGAGAGTCAATTAGAGCAAAATATGCAGCTTTTACTGCTGAGAAATTGAGTTCTCTTGCTATAACCCTAGTTGCAAAGCAACCAGACGCTAATTTCTTGCATAAGGATGAAATATGAGCAGTGAATGAAAGGTCCTTAACCACATGTAGTCCAACAAACTTGGTTACTGGTTCCATTGCAATTGGTGAAGTGCCTACAAAAACTTCACTAAGCCTGCATTCGAAGTTTGAGATGTATGTGTTGGAGAAATTCAGAGATAATTGATTCACATTCTACCATTTCCTAATTTCTTCCATATCAGCTGTAATGAAGACATTCAGTTCAGTAATGTCTTTGCTAGGCCTTACTATTGTAGTGTCATCAGCAAATAGAGTAAATTTTCCTTTGATTTCAATTGAGACGAAGTCATTGATATACAAGAGAAATAAAAGTGGTCCCAGCACCGAACCTTGGGGTACTCCACATGACATGACTCGATACTTAGACATCTCACCCTGTAGTGAAACTCGTTGGGTACACTCTGATAAATGAAAATGTAGCCATCTCAATGATACATCTCTAAAGCCAAGAATTTACAATTTAGTATACTGTGAAATCGTGATTTTAGCTTCTTGAAATCCAAATTGGCTGGAGTCAAGTAAATTATACTTGATCAAAAACGAAATGGTTCGTTTGAAAGGGTTATATTTCATATGTTATATACGTTATACGTTCAATGTCATAAGAAATACATCTTGTCGACAAACATTAGTCTGCTAAAAAAAATAACTATGAATATCAATAAATAGTTAAGTAAATATATACATGTACTAATATACACAAATGAGCACATACACAAACAGTATGTTTGTTAAAGTGTAATCTTGTAAATGGGTAGAACTATGTATGAGTAATTTTTGTATAAATGAATAAATAAAAAACATTACATATTATTATATGTCGAGGTTATCCTCAAAAAATTCATTTAATGTATAGTAAGCCTTTTTGACCAGAATTGCCTTCAAGTTTCTCCTGAAAGATAGTAGCGTGACACATTTTGTTGAACTTTTAGGTAACTTGTACATTACTTACTTGTACTCCATTATATATAAGTAATTAAGTTCTTGATTTGACTACTTGTTGGCATAGGAACCTTTAATTGGTAAGCTGGTCTAGTATTGTGGTGAGGCAGAGAAGTAAAGGTACCTTCGTTCTTGTGTACAAGGCATTCAAGAATAAACAATGAAGTCACAGTTAAAATTCCATGCATTAAAAACAGTGGCTTACAAGGATCATTCCACTTTGCTTCACAGAGATATCGTACCGCACGTTTTTGTAATATTTATTTTATCTAGATACTGTGGTTACTTCTCCATCATTATAAGGCTTGTTTCATGCTTTTGAAAATGATACTGGTTTGCTTATAAACGGATCGAGCCTAATCGGTCCCAATACCTCTTTATATTTGCATAAAAAAAAATGAGAGGCAAGAGTTTAAATTGGCCGCGTGTCTGTTGACCAATAAAATTGATCATGTCTACAGCGATGTTGCCAAGTGTCAATTATTTTAACAAAAATACGAAGTTAAGGCGAGTTCATATTAGAACGATTAAGATAATATTTTTGCGGTTCCGCAAATTTGCCTCAATTGTCAAAATACCCTGTTCATGTTGAAGCGGGCAATATCTAGGGATTTCATTATTGAATTTTAAATTTTATTACATGAACCTGAATAAAATTACTACCAAATGAACTGTAAACCAAAAATCATGAAACAATTCCATTATTACAATGCTTGTTTGCTCAATAATTTTGTCTTTGCAAAGGATACAGTTTAACTGTCAACCATCTTGCTGACAAGACTGAAACTGAACTCAAGTCTCTTCGGGGCAAAAAATATAGTGGGGAATACAACGGCGGAAAACCTTTTCCCTACAAGACGATAAATACAAAATCCCTCCCAAGCCAATTCGACTGGAGAATATTTGGAGCTGTTACTCCAGTTAAAGGTGAGAAATAACCCTTCTGGCATTTTCGTCTGTTTTAATCTATGTTATATTTCAGATCAATCAGTTTGTGGTTCCTGCTGGTCTTTCGGTACCGTCGGAGCGATAGAGGGAGCATATTTCCTGAAGAATGGGGGTAATCTAGTGCGTTTGTCACAACAAGCATTGATTGATTGTTCATGGGGGTAAGAGAAAACATTTTTATAAATAGAATAAATAATGACATATTTATATTTACGTTTTAGTTTTGGAAATAATGGATGCGATGGTGGTGAAGATTTCAGGGCTTACAAATGGATGCTGAAACATGGAGGAATTCCAACTGAAGAAGACTATGGACCATACTTGGGGCAGGTATGTTTTTTTCTGAAACATCATGGACTTTCACAGCTAAGAATCCTGAAGAAATAAATTTTCTGAGGGCAATTGCACAAGTTCGTGAATATTTTTCAAATGAAAACTTTCAATTCACTGATTAGATCTCTGTGACCTACTTTGTATACACATCCTGTGCCAGAAAGGAAAATATTCATAATTCACTGATTTGCGTATCCTGCGAGTTTTTTCTACTGAATCTAGATCGAAGTCTATAGAAAAAAATCCTGCAGATAAGATAAAACCAAACATAATTGTGGAAATATTTCTAATTTGGCTATTGATGAAGTTGTAGATGATGCAGTGGCAGTCATTTGTTCTATCAATTTTCTTGCTCATTATGATTATTCTTACCTTTCTTGAATAAAAATCAAAACATCTTCTAATCCGCACTTCTGATAAGTCTACCTATGATTTCCGATTATTTCATCTGAAACCATTTTGGTTCACTCTTGCTTCTCCCATCATTACAACAAGTAGTAGTAGTAGTAGTAGGAGTAAGTAGTCCTGTTTGTCCCAAACAAACTAGTCTTTGCATCCTGCTTAGTCTATTAAAACCATCCATTTGTTTCATCTTCAGCATAAGCGGATGCATATGTTATCATTGGTTTAATATCTGTGATGTAGAGCTTATAAATCATGTCTGGTTTCAACCTTCCATGTCTTTGCATATGTCCGTCTGCCCAGCGTCAGTACTACCTCCACATTTCTTTTTCTAAATATAGGTTTTGGGTCAGCCTATATCATTTTATTTTACATATACCTGAATCGTTTACATAACCCAGTATTTTATATATTTCAGTGTCTAAATAAGTATTATAAGTTTCCACAACAGTGGATGTACATTAAGAATATATTTTGTTTTGGAACTGCAGTCGAGAGGTGTTAAAATTCATTAGCACAGTATATAATATATCACACAACATTCTATGACTTTTTGATAGAATTAACTAAAATGTGAAGAAAACTGTGCCCTTCTTCGAAAATTATTCCCTACTACACGATTAATTTCCCTCCCCCGCAATCTTCCAAACTCTCTAACAATGCTGTGTTGCAGGTTCTCAATATTTTGATATTCTCTCTGACCATAAACTCTATTTTTCAGTGTACCCCATAAGAATGTTTCCATAACACTTGAATCTGGAGGCCTTGAAGACCGGCTCATTATTCCTTATTCATTTATCACCAAACCTTTCAGTCAGGTAATTAGATACTCGTCTGGTAGTGTGCGGTAGGGCACCATCATTTTGAAACCAGATTTTGTTATAGTTAGCCAAAGGTAGATCATCCAAATAGTCTTCGAAAATCGACATTGAAAACTTGTGATAGGTTTTTCCATTCAGAATTTCGTCAAATAAATGAGGAACCAAAATTCTATCTTTGTAAATTCCTGCCCACACATTAATTACAAAATCTCACTTGAGATCGAATTTCTCGGAACTGCCTGGGGTTGTTTATGCTTCAAGTGTGTTCATTATTTCGGTTAAATATCCCACAATTAGTAAAAGTGCTTTTATCTGTCCAAATTATATTTTCCAGGAAAATCTGGTTGCTTTCATCTGTCCAAATTCCATTTTCCAGGAAAACAGGAAAATCAGGTCTTTTTATTAGCCAATTACAAAATTCTAATTGCCTTTCGGGATCACCTGGTGCTATTTTTGAGATATGTGTATTTTGTAACATTTCAAACCGCTTTTTTTGAGATGTCTCCAAGCTCTTGTATGACAAATAGTCATTTCTAAGAAAATTTGACGTGTAGATTTACCCGGGTTCATCTTCATCTCATACATACCTCATTCATCAAATTTTATTTAGTTTCCTGGTCCATTTTATCTCGGTATTTTTTCCTCGGCTTTCCAAATGAACCAAACTCGATGAGATTTTGATTAAATAACTTGAACATAGTTCGATGTGGTTGTCGTCTTTCAGGATACAAGTTCAAATACATTTTCGATGTCCTAACACTGTTTCTATCATATTTGTAATAAATTTGTATCGTATCTCTTTTTTCTTCATTCATAAAAGCCATTTTTTGCCAAAAATTTAACAATAACGAAATAACAAAATGTAACAAAATGAGTGTAACAAATTGTAAATCAAATTTAGAAACATCAAAGTTAAAGCCTATTATGAGAAGAAATAATGTTTTTCAATATCTCCAATTATTTGAAAAAAATGATAAAAATGACACATCATTGAAAATTTAAAATCTGGTTCTATTCAAAACAGAAAGAATCCAATGTAGCGCCCATAAGAAAAAATAAAGTTGATGATGGTGACCGGAAGACGAAACGTCGGATAGCAAATCTGAAAACACCAATATGTAGTAGGGAAAAAGTGGCAATGTGGAAGTGCAATTTATTTTCGATTCCTTCGAAAAATAAAGCCAGAGAAAAACAGAAACCATTGATATTGTATGTAACTAACTAGTCTGATGTGTTTCATACTGTACTGTAATTCTTTATTTTTAATTTTGAACAAATAATTCCTGCAAAATAAGTCAGTAAGAGTAGATATTTTCAAAAATCTAAACCAATACTGGAAAACAACTTTGACAAACTGGACTGTTTGATTTCTTGATAATACAAAAAAATATATTATATTTCAGGATGGATACTGCCATGCCGATAAGGTTTCTAAAGTAGCCAAAATCACCGGTTGGGTGAATGTAACGACTAATAACGAAAATGCCTTGAGACTGGCCCTAGTTAATCACGGCCCGATAAGTGTTGCCATAGATGCTAGTCATAGAACCTTCAGTTTTTACTCCAATGGAGTGTACTATGATAAGGAATGGTGAGTTGTTTGGTTGTCTTCGATAAAGTTGATAGTAATTAACATTTATATTTCACCTGAAATTATTAGTGGTTGATAGTCTCTAGACTTCTATGTTCATTTATTTATTCACAGTTGGGAACTATTTAAAATATGTGGTTTGAGATTGATACAAAAGAATGGTTTTGAATTGAATTTTTTGAGTGAAAATTGGGCTTCAGGAACATGAATAATGCCATCGCTTTCCGCTAAACTGACTCAAAAGCCTTACAACTAGGCATCTTTCCTCTATCCAGCACCACCACTGTCCTCCAAACTCACCCCCCCCCTTTACTGCAGTCGGCATTTTCCTTTATTTTCCAACGAAATAAAATTACAATTCATTCTTCAACATGAAATCAACTAACTATATTCCCCTAAAATACACTAGTCAGGTGTACACACACAGTAGTATGCCAGGACTAGGACGTGAACCATTCACCATCTTTCCTTGCACAGTTCCTTTTGACCGCTTGCGACTCATTGTTCCCTTTCATCCCTCATAACACTCTCTGCCCATTCATTCGCGACGTGAATCCATTCCTTTTTTCTTTCCATTCCCAACCCCAAGGTGCATTCCTCCGTTTTCTTGTTCGAGTCGCTCTTTCTAGTCTCGCCACCCAACTTTATCTTCGTCCAAGCATCTCTCAAGCACATGCTCTGACGTTTCAGGCTCCCCCAGCCACAAGGGCACTGAACCTCCAGTCCCAGGTTAAACCTGGCTTGGGAAACCGGGAAGTTTCCATGCCCCGTGAACAGTTGGACAGCCTTCCTTGTCAGATTAAGAGATTCAAACCCGACTGTTTTATAGTATATGTAAACAGCCGCCCAGTTATTCCGTCTTCCCATTCCCTCTGTCATTATTCAGTGATGCAGCCTTTTATCCTTTTTCTCTCCTCATTCTTATTGTCCATTCTCCTCACATTCCAAGTAACACCTTCGAGGTGGAGGCTTCGAGTTGCTTCTTCATGGGCCTTATTGCCAAGGTTGCCGCTCTGATGTTCCCTACGTCATATAATTTGGGACCGTGCCCCCCTTGCTTCATAATTTTCTGAATCATAGCTACCCTTTTATGTTCTACTCTTATCCATATATTCCATATACCTATCACTTTTTCTATCACAATCAGTTCTGCCTCGTTCACGCTGCCCTGTCCGGTGATTCGTTCAATTCCTCGTACCCAACTTATGCCTGCCCATTCTTCCGTTTTCCATGTTCGCTCCGGCATCCACGTACACCTCGGACATACCCTCGTCCTCCACTTCCTCCAGCAGCATCCCTTGCATCCAGGGGAGTACCTTATCAATTCCTTTCACCCTGTCCTCAATCTTTCTTTCCCCATTTGCTCTCCGTTCATGGTATCTGGCTCTAAAGCGATACCACGCTAAGCGCAGCTGACGGTGCCGTCCTTTACGCCCCCACATGAGGTGATAAGAAAAGGCCTCTGGGCCGCGCTGAGCTATCCCCTGACTCTGCTGCCATGCGCTCTGCTCCCCACACTTGCACTCCATACATGACTGCAGACTTGGCTACCCTTTCGTATATCACTCTGAAACATTCTCTCCTTAGTCCAATGTTCCGCCCGGTCTATCGTTTCATTTTCCCTGCTAGCATATTCAGCTTTTTATTAACCTCCTTGTGGTGGCCAGGAACAGTCAGAAATCAAAAGGGATTCTGAGATCAGTGGGTGGGGTGCAGTTGAGTATGAGTACGAGAGTTCAAGAAAGGTATCAACATATGATTAACCACATACAAGACATACCTTGTTTAGTCAAATCATCAATCAAAATCAAAGATGTGCTGCTGATACCAATTGTAAAAGATTATCTGGTTCATAACACCTTCATTTTCATAATGGTTGAATATTCGATTTTCCTCAAATTTCATAAAATATTTCATATCACAACAATGTTCTTACTGTCTATTCATTAATTGAATCTAGTGAAAAACACCAGAACAAAAATAATGCCTTTTGACAGCGTTTCGCTAACCAAGTTAGCATCATCAGGAGATGAATGAAACTAAACCTTTATATAAATCTGGGTGAACCAGCACCTTCTATAAAGAGGGCCAATCAAATGAAGGTAATCAGATGAGCGCCAATAATAAATGATTGTTATTATTATTGTGTTATTGTTTGTATTTTACTTCCCATTTGTATGTCAATGACTATCAGTTATGAAATCTAACATTTATCTGGATTTCTTCTTGTAATTATTACGTAAAAAAGTAAACAATGGGCTGCTTGGAATACATCTGATAACACTTTAATCAATCTTCTTTCGAAGGTATTTAAAAACCTGTTGTCATGTACCAGTCTCAATTTCAAGCATTCCTTACTTATTTTGTGGCCGTTGTCTGAAGCATGTTGAGCGACACTAGAATTTTCTGGTCTATGAATCCGAATATGTGAAACACGTTCCTTGTGGTTACTTTAACCCGCTTAGGTTCACCAACATTCTTTTTATAATAAACGGAAAAGACTATTGGCTAATAAAAAATAGTTGGTCGAATTATTGGGGAAACGACGGATACGTCCTTATGGCAGCCAAGGATAACAATTGTGGAGTTATGACCACTCCTACTTATGTTACCATGTAATCAGTGATATTTTTTCAATTTTAATTTGTTGGCAATAGATATAGTAATATTGAAAAATATAAATGTTTATTCTCACATAAGGAATAAATTAATTAAAAAAAAAAAATTGAGTGTGTTATTTCAATCTTATTAACTTGAATGTGCATTACCTTTAATTTATTGATAACCTTTGGTAGCCTGTAAAATGTTGGAGTTAGTAACTAGACCACTATTTGAGTCTACTAGTGTCAAGTTGAATCCATCTTATGGAATTGAAAAGGTGTAACACAGCTTTATTCGACATTTTCTTTCAAAGATGGGCTTTGTAAGAGGTATTTATGGCTACAATACATGGCTTACAAATTGGATGGAGTTTACCCACCCCATGGAATTGATAATAGAGTGTTGCTAAATAGATTTGCCCTCTTACCCTTAGAAAACAGAAGAACATATTATGCCTGTATATATAAATTGATTCATGATCTGGTTGACTGCCCAGATTTGTTATCTCAACTAGATTTTCTCTTATTTACATCTAACAAATAACAGGCAAAATCACATACCTGATAAGATCTGCTGAAGAGTGATTTCATATTGATGTTCTCACAGAAGATATCAATTATTTTCCACATTCTTAGAGAAGGCTATCGTAATTTTACTTCACAAAGCCTAAAATTTTCATTGCTCTTATGGGTTTAAAGTTTAAGCAATTCTAATGGTTCGCCTTCTACAGTATACACATTGTTGTAATGAGTAAGTTTTTTTAAGGACAAAACACAAGCACTACAGAGCTCTCAGAGTGGTGACTGTGCAAAAGTAGCAATTCACATTGGATTTGAATCGCTGTAGATTGAATCCATTTGGAGAAACGTTCTGAGAAAGTTTATTCCACATAAACGCAGTTCTCCAGATGAAAGAGTTCTCAGTGATGTTCGAGGTGTACTGAGTTGAACTTCAAAACGATGAGCAGCCACAGTCCGTCGCGCATTTCTGATATGTACCGCTCTTGGTGGAATCAAATGTGCCAAGTTACTTTAACACTTTCCGTGAAAGTATCTATAGAAGAGAGACAAATCTCCAACCTCCATTACTCGCTTTTAAGTACGTCTTCAAATGATACAGTGAAATGACATCTAATATAATAGGTAGTATCAAAAGTTTTGTCCGTTTTAGTATCTGTTTATTGTAATGTCCGATCGAAACTGGTTTTTATGACCGAAAACGAATTTCAGTAACCAACGGTCTCAGTTTCGGCCGAAACCGGAACTTCCTTACAAGGATTATGTTTTGAGGGAAAAATAAATAAAAGGTTAAATTTTTAGGTGTATTTTTCGTTTTTTATTAAGATGTATTGTAATTTTATCCTGATTCGCAACCGAACACGGTTATTAGACTTATCTCATGTCATGTAAATGATTCGAAGAGATCAATAAATCTATCTATCTATCTATCTATTAAACATAAAATTACTTATTTGAGTTGTTACCTAAAAACACTTGTATGAAATTTAACGAGCCGAACGTGACCGATCACAGCGCGGGAACTCCCGAATGCTGTTTCGGTCGTAGTTTCGGCAAGTTTGCCACCGAAACCCGTTTTTTTGCTGAAACTCGACCGAAACCGAAATTTCGGTCGGAAACTAGTTTATTGTATCTCCATATCTCAATAAATATTTATTCTACTGTATCGTGGTATATACTGATCGACAGAGAATTTTGTACTATATACATCAATGCTGTTAATTTTTTTTTAAATTGAAATTTTTGCCTCTCCAGCTATTACTATATGATTTCTTTAAGCGATTTTTGGCCAATTTTTCTCTACTAATTCAAATTGAACCAAAGCGCTGCCGAAACAGCCCGAAAAATTAACCAGACATTTGGCAATGATAGTGTTGATGAAGGCACTGTTCGACGTTGGTTTGCGAAATTTCGTTCCGTAGATTTTAGCCTCGAATATGAGCGTCGAAGTGGTCAACCTACAATCCAGAACGAGGGTTTGAGGACCCTAGTGAAGACTGACCCATCACAAGCGGTCCGTGGAATTGCAAAAAAACTGAGCGTTAGCTCTCATGTGGTTTTTGATGGTTTGAAAAGATTTGGAAAGTTGAAGCACGATTTGAACTGATCCTCACGATTTGAACGATCGAAAGAAATTGTCACGTTCGAGGTATGTTCTTTGCTTTTCTGCAACCAAAACGATTTTTTTTAATCGGATCGTCACGTGTGGAGAAAAGCAGATCCTATTACGACAACAGGAGACGTTCAGGACAATGGATAAGGTTTTTGGCTTCCACCTTCTTTTGTTTTTGTTCCGGGCCGTGACTGGAATGTTTTGTTTGGATATTATTTGCTGATAACAAATCGATTTGGATCTTCAATAGGTTGATTTTTTCTTTGAGTTCTTAGATTATGGCATCCTTCTGCTTAAGAATGTATTTGATCAGCACTGGATTGGATTTACACTCAATGGTGGAGATTTTGTCAACTGTATGATAGAAAACATCATCCAATTCAAGACTTGGTGATTCCATAACCTCATGCAGACACACTGGATTTTTCGTTAGGAGCGATTGCCTCCAGCACCTCGGATGAAAATTATGCTTACACTTGTTGCAGAGTATTTTGTTCTTGATTATATTTCTGTTGCACTGTTCACAGATTGGGAAATTTTTATTTTCAATGGGAGCATCTGAACACGAACTTGAGCCGGCGGCCATTATGTTTATTCAAATAATGAGGGTAACCACACAGAAGCATGTAAAATTATTAGGTACAATTATTGATGACTCACTTTAATGGGAAAATCACATGGCACTTGCAAAAGACAAAAACCCTCCTGAAAAAAAGACCATGGTTACTGTATGGTGATTAGCAGCTGGTGTGATTCATTACAAGTTTCTGTAACCGGGCCAAACCATCACAGAAGCCCTCTTGCGAGGAAATGGACTAAATGTACCGTAAATTGCGTCAGCAGCAGCCGGCACTGGTCAACTGAATTGATCAACTTGTGTTAAATTGGCAAAAGTGCACTGTAGTGTCCGACCGAAAGTTCGGTTTCGGCAAAAAAACGGGTTTCGGTGGTAAACCTGCCGAAACTACGACCGAAACTGCATTCGGTAGTTCCCGCGCTGTGATCGGTCATGTTCGGCGAGTTGAATTTCATGCAAATAAACACCTCACCTATTTTAAATATTTTCAAGGTGCAATTAATATTTTTTCTCAAACAAGGGTTTGTTAGATTGATTATCAATAAGTGAAAATGTCGAACATTGCATAACGTTGAGATTTAAAGATAAGAAAATAAAGACTAACTGATTGTTATAACGTTTTCTTTGCCATTTCACTAGTGCACTGATTGAAATGGCACTTATTTCGATAAAATTGAATAAGTATTTACTGAGATATCACAATTCAAAGTAGAATCATGAAAACGGACAAAACTTTTTAAACAACCTACTATGATTTAGAACAAAGAATTTCTACTAATGGTATTAAAATGGTTCACCAATTACCTCACATATCGGAAGCAGCTAGTTAAATATAATCAAGTGACATCCAGTACTTCAAATGTAATTTCAGGAGTCCCTCAAGGGTCAGTATTGAGTCCACTGCTATTCTTGCTGTACATAAATGACATTGTGATGCATGATGAAAGGTGTAAGATAAAACTGTTTGCCGACGACACTATATTATATTGTTCTGGGACACCATATGAAATCTCAAATTCTCAGTACCTCGTCCACTGGATGGAGTGACATTTTTGTTGTTCGCTCCAAATTAGGACGAGGAATATCATACTCTGAAAGAATTTTGATTTTACACTTTGACTATTGCAGTACATTGCTCTATTTTGTAAGCAATGAAAATCTTAACAGACTACAGAAACTTCAAAACAGATCCATGAGGCAATATTAACTTGTAATAAACGCACATCTGTGAAATACATGTTGGAAGCACTGTCTTTTATGTCTGCTAAATAAAGGATAACACTGAGTATGCTAGTATTTATATTTAAAATTAAACACAATATGTTGCCAAATTATCTGAGTGATCAGTTAACCTACACAAGAAGTATTCGTACACACTCCACTAGAAATAGAATAGGAAATTTGTATATCAACAGAGAGCATCTAGGTTGTGACTCTGTGTATAATTCTGGTCTGATTGCATTCAATAATTTGCCTAGTCATAAAAAAAGCTGTGATTCAATAAACTCATTCAAAAGAAAATGTATTGAATATATTTCAAGTGATAGTCACCAATGATTTGTGTTGTTTTCACAATGCGACTTGTCTCTATTTTTAAATTTTTTGTTTTGTATTTTATACGTGACTGACTGTACTATGATCAGCATTATTTGCTAATAAAGAGTGATATACAACCATCTGTTAGTTCAAATCGGAGCCTAAAAAGAAAACATTTGTGATTCGCCTACAAACAGCCATAAGTATCATCAGCAGTGCTGGTACGAAAGTATTTTTGGACTAAACTGTTCTTAAAAGACAATCCTGAGTAAAACAATGACACCTCTCGCCTTGCAGATGAAGACAGGGGACGGCAGTCAATGTCAAAGCTAGGCCTTGGACTGCCTCGTTTATTTTTGATATTTATCTGTTGAGTGTTCTATTGATCCTATAGATAACTTTTTTGTGAAGGGAAATGTCATTGCCTTCACTTACTCATGCTTGTTCTTCAAGGACAGTTGAGTTCAACAATGCCTTCGTGGTTTGGCCCAGCCTATGGCGGGTCATAACAGTACTATCTCTAGGCACCAGGCCTTTGAGAGCCTTGTTTATCCTTAATATTCGTGAATTGAATCTCCTGTCAGTCATGAAGGAAGATATCAACTTTTCGAACCTGCGATTGGTTATTCAGGATATCCAAAAATTGAATAAATAAAAGCAATAGTTAACTAAATTCTATATATTAAAAACATTATCCAGTCATTCTTGCTACAAAGGTATTATCCTCATTAACCACCGCTTGAGTCCCGGGAATCCTTGCACCATTCTGAAATGAATAAATGAGTTAGGTACTTTTATATCTTCACCCTTTCATCTCTTGCGGATGGATTATTTCAACTGCAGCTTGTGCAAGTTATCATTTTTATATTGATCACAATGGTTTTATTAAAGGAAATGAATCTTCCATATTACTACTTACCAATAGCCTTGCTCTCTCTTCGAGCAATCCATATGCAAAATGATTCAAAATCAAAGATCTCGGTAGTGAAACTCCTTGGAATCTATAGATGGGTGCTCCCGGAATATCAGTATCCAATTTTATGACATTGGCAACAGTTATTCTACCCAAGTGATTTGTATTTGGTATCATGGGCCCCTTCGAGATATCTATGTGCTGACCAGCTCTGTACAGAGTAACCTTATCCCCATTGTGCTCTGCGATGCTAGGGATTTGTAGTGTTTTGTGAGGGTTGTTTTTGAAAATATCGAAAGCAATTTCTTTGGACACATCCAAACATTCCAGGGGGAACTCTTTCTGGGACAGTTTTATCATTTCTATGGAGAGTACTTTGAGCTCTGCAGTTGTTGGTTTCCAATCATCTAGACTCAGCTGTACATCGTAAACAAAGCTTCCAGATTTCACTACAAATGAAATGAAGCTCGTATTTATTTGTATTGTTTTCATCAAGTATAGGCTAATTCTATCACATAGTATATTCAAAGCAATGAAGGATAGAGATGGGTGGACCTTAAGTATATGTCACATGGTATAGATATCGATATGCATACTATTTTAACAGAAATATTTTAATAATCACAATTGAAATAAGAAAATTCAGATGTAACCGAAGAGACATCATGCTTTGATAAGCTTTATGACTGACATTTCGTCCACTATTGCGGTATACATTACCAAAGGCGATGAGGTAACAGTCGAAGTGCTCAAGTTGTTGTCTCCGGATTTATCATGCCCTAAAGAAAATAACGCCGGCCGCCACTGGTAGCCATAAACCAATTGTGACGTAGCTAAGAGCGCGCGAATGTTCGATGTTCGCTGCCGTTCTAGTTGTAGCGAGAATAATGCTACCAGCTCCGATTGAATTCCGAGAGATGTTCCAGCACCTTCAATTGCCAAATATAAGCGCCATCCACCCGCCCATCGAGACAGTCAAGTGGAAGTTACAGTGCGGTATGTGGAGCGATCTAGTAAGGCGATAGACATTCGAATAATAGTTGAAGTTTTAGTTGAAGTGTTTGTTGTATTCAAAGTGAAATAAAGGTAAGTTTGAGTATTGTTCAGTGTAGTTAATTATTAGTCAACCCACGGGGAAAAACGTAACATTATCATAGGTAGGCGTGGCTTAGTTCCTCTTAATTGGATTACTTGATCTTATTTGTGTATAATTAAGGACAGGTAGCCATACTTTATTGATGTTCATTGCCTTTTCTTTTCTATTGAAAATATCCATGTGATTTTTAATTTCTGTTGCCTTTCTATCGAGTATTACCGTATCTTTGAATCAGATAATGTTTGTGCCTTCTTTCAGAGAGCATGTTCCGCTACAGCTGATTTGTTGGTTTGTCCGAGGCGACAATTTCTCTTGTGTTCAAAGAGACGGGTACCTATACTTCTTTTATTAATTCCAATGAAGACTGACCCACAGCTGCAAGGAATCCGGTATAGCCTGGGTGTTGCTAAATGTAGTTTCAAATGTTCATTATATTCACATAGTTTAATAATGAATTAACAATGAATTTCTGACCTGGTCAGAACATATAGAAGATCTATGTATGAAACTCAATAGGGTGCTTTATGCTATAAGATCTCTCAACAAATATCTCCACCCAAACTCAATGAAAATAATATATCATTCCAGCTTCGAATCGGTGGCAAAGTACGGAATTTTGTTTTGGGGATGTAGTCATGATGTTCAAAAAATTTTTGTAATACAAAAAAGAACCTTACGGGTTATGTTAAACATGATTTAATTAACTCGCTTTTATTAGCTTCACCTGTATGTATGTATATATGTATGTTTGTAACTCTCAAGCTCGGGATCTGTATTTGACAGAATTATCGACATTATTGCTTGATCTATTCGAGGGCAGATGGCGCTGTACATAACCTCCTTGATATATCGACATTATTGTGATATTGACAAAATCAGCTCTAGCCGAGCATGCTCTCAACAAAGAAGGCACTCACAAAATCTCATTCGAAGATACAGTAATACTCGATTAAACTAAGAGCAATAGAAACTCAAAAACACAGGAATAATTTCAATAGAAAAGAAGAGGCAATGAACATAAATAAAATTTGGCTACCTGTTCTTGATTATACACAAACAAGGTCAAGTAATCCAATTAAGAGAAACTAAGCCGCACCAACCTATGATAATATAATCAGAGACAAATTCCAGCATTGCATTTTCTGCGTTGGGAACAATTCCAGCACTTCGGCTGTTACTGATTGCCTTTGATAATGTCTACCGCAGTAGTAGACGAAACATCAGACATAAAAACCTGCAGACCACGGCCAAAAAACAAGAAAATTGATTTGACACAATAATATGCTTTATTGTCTTGTATGATTAATAATAATTACATGTTTTGTTGAAAATAATTTGAGTGAAATAATACATTAGTTGTCTATCTGTTATGGATGTATTTATTGGTTCTAATATATCTGCAGAGAAAATATTATTTTTTAGTAACATTTTTGCATTTCATTACATCCATCATCAGGATTCAAAATTTAGTTCTTCCACGTTATATTGATGAATATGGAAACAAAAATAATATAAGCTCTCAAAAGATGCATTTACTATACTTGAGAATAAACAAACCACATGGAAAGCATTACACAAACAGGGTGAAAATGTGTCATTGCTATATATTTTGCTCCTCCTTATGTTTAGTGTTTGTTTTCATATTTAAGAGTGTAACATGCATTCCGTCTTTACCTTTCTTTTGAATTTAATTTCAAGTTAGTATTATTATTTACATTTTTCTCACCCAGGTGTTTCCTGAAAGCATTTCCTTTGTATTGGACTTTTAATATTTAGACCGCAATACTACTGTGCTTGCCCCATTTGTGACTATATCGCGCACCCCCGTTCATGATATTCATGGTCAGGAGAGCGAGAGAAGAAACGAATAACTTGAATGCTCAAGAGCTGCTCAAAATAACACGAAAGTCCAGCATTCGAATTAATGTCACAGGAAATATAGTCTGCATACATTGATACTCAACAACACGAGAGAAATAATTCTTCGTCCCTGACGATGTAGAATGTAGAAGATAAAACCTGACAGGTTGGCATGAGAACAATATTTTTTTATAAAAAATTGTTGGCTCAGCAAACCACTTTGAAACCTATCGATACTCACCATTTGGACTTGGAAAGCTATGTAAAGATAGGGAAACGTTATCTTTGAAAGCATTTGAGATAACAGCCCCCAATAAGAAACTACAACTCCTCCAGTATGTTTTGTTCACCGATATTGGATTTGGTAGATGATAATGTAGTAATTCTAACTTGCAAGAATCAGGAAGTGGTTTGTGGACGTGCCATAAGGTTTCCCCATTGAGTAGAGCTACTACACATCTTTTGCGAACAGTATCACCCAAATCTGAAATTCAAAGAAACTATTTAGACACATATCTATATCAGCTACAAATTTCACTTTCATATACAAACCAGCAAAAATAATAATAACCGTTTTTTACCTAACTGTATAAAAGATAAAGAAATAAATTAGTACAATCATTTCTGTATTAAAGTTAACAAGCATCAGCTTCAACAAATTTTGACAGAAAAAATTAAACAATCTGTTGTTTCAGAACTATGAAATAAAATCGAGTCACTTCTGACCAGAATTCCTTGTCAACTTCTGCGAACGTTTTGATTAAAATACTAGAAATACTAGTTTGGGGCATATTTTTACGAAAGATTAATTTTTGAGAAAGAGAGATTTAGGCTTTCTACTTTTCCATTTTTGTACAAAAAATGTGGGAATCTTCCAAAGAAAGGAAACTAACATTGCAGAATCTGATTCTTGCATCATCTATCAACATGTGCACAAAGTTGGGTGATATGAATGATTTCTAATATACTTATAGAGTTTTATATCTGTCTTTGTGACAAAAAAAAAACTGTGGTATGACTTTGTTCAAACTGAAAAATCAGAAGAATTCAAAGGTGAATTATTGGTGATATTTCAATTCAATTATTCAGAGAATTGGTTCAGGAAAGTAGATAATTTTTGTGTAATTTTATACCTTCTCATTCTGTAACCTGTTTTACTTTCTTTGTTAGTTTTCTATCTTTTACATATCAATTGAAAAGCAGATAACTGAAACAATCACAATAAAGGAGTAAAAAGAAAATAAAAGCTTCGATGAAATGTATGTCACCATATCAAACTTACGTTTAGCACAATCATAAGGGGTTGACACATTTTTATTCATAACCAGTGTTTCATTTTTAGGTGTTCCTTCATAGTTAACTTCTATTTTTTCAATACGTCCTACTGACTCTCTCTGTCTCTTCTGCTCAGAGTCAAATAGTTCATTTTGTCTTCTGCAATCGTCGGAGCATTTAAAAAATTCTGTAGTTAAAGTATTGATGACCAAAATGATTAGTCATTTGAAATATAATACTAGATCTAAAGTGGAAGACATGATAGTTGAATCATGAAATATTTGTGTAAAATATTGCATTGGCCTACATAGTTTTTTCGTTGAAATTCACACCTCGCAAAGTGAGATTAACTCTGGTGTATCTAACAAATTCAAGTGAATCAATAGTACAGCAGGTCGATTTTATTTTTACAATCTATCATCATGGTGAACTCTTGATATTTAGTTATGTGAAACTGGGTAAACCTATAGGAATACATACGCATACATATATACACAATTCTCATGTATTCAGATTCCCACTATGATTTCCATCTCCTCGTTAGTTTCGCATCTTAAAAAAATTGTAAAACTTAACATATTCTGATACATAATTATATGACTCACTCAATAATGCTTTTCGGATTTATAACTTATTATGAACGACATTGGGTTACTCCGGAGCTTGAAACAACAAATTTAACTCTAGATGCAACTGCTGTATTACCGGTAGTTCATAGGGTAAAAATTGTTTAATAACAATCATGGATAACATAAAATATGTATTCGATTGCCCCAGATCACAGAGGAAAGAAATTACCCTGATTTTACAGATGGATAATGCTATAAACTGTATTCTGGTTCACTGTTTGAAGGGGTTTCGAACAATTAGTCGCACAGTTGGACTTGAAGAGTTTTTCAAGAGTTTACTCTCAATATTCAGCTGGGTAACTATTTTGAACCTTTTTTGAGTGATTCGAACTGCAAACCTGAATACGCCTATAGGATCCAAAGGAACAGATTAGTCATCAGCTGATTTTCATTATTCTATGTCAAATTTTGGGTTGTATTGATAAAATAGTTTTATTTACCAATTTTTTGACTGACAGCTTTATTTTCAAAACTGTCGGTTTTGATGATTTGGTATACACCAGTTATCATTTGTTATACACCGATACAAATGGATCAAAATATGACAAAATAATAAATGTCAGATTGTTAAAGAAACAGGTTATCCTGTTGGCGGTTGGAATGAGTAGAATTTGCCGAAACAAATTATGTATTTAATGAAATAATAATGAGGCAGAGGAGATAACAAGGAAAATTGAGATTAAATTGAAGACTTCCTACACATTCCTTATAATATATCCATGCAGTGTTGACATTTTTTGAATTGAGGTTTAACAAAACTTATTATTAGAAATACCTCAAAAATGTTAAGAAAGAATATTCTACAATTCTTCAATATTATTTTAATAGTACATGTGAGTCGTGCAGTTTGCTATGAAGTTAATGCTATAGCAAGAACTGCAACATCTTATTTGGAAAAATATGAAAGCTACAGGGATGTAGTGATGATACATCTGAAGGTGCCTGAAGACACATTATTTGCATCCTTCAAGTTTGTTGCTGAAGAAACTCAATTATCTATATTTGGTAAACTTACAGAACAGCTCTTTCAGTATAATTACTATTTATTTTCATTCTAATTGAAATAATCTTGTAAAGTGAATTTGTTTGCACATATTTACCAATCGTTGAAATAATAATCTTTTATTAATAATCATTGTGGGATATATTTTCTATTTTATTAATTTGTATTACTCTTCAGGTTGCACATCTAGGAATATTTCATTATATATGAAGTATGGTTCCCCTCCTGCCATAAATCCAGAAGGTGCTCCATTTCCAAAGAATTTCAAGAATATAACAAGGTCTGAGATATATAATTTAGAAATGTTATCCGATAAACAAGAAAGTTACATCAATATTAGTTCTCCGGAGCCTGGGCCTTACTACATTACAACCTTCCTTTCATACAGTGATCCTAAATACAATGCAATAAAACAAGAAGGTAAAATATTTCATATTTGAAAAAATAATGAAAACAAAGAATGAACAATTTGGTTTTAGTAATTGTATTGCTTGATTGCTTACTCTCTTATACACTGACACACCATCTTTGTGCTCCAGTATATGTGAAGTACATATAGTTTAAAGATAGCTTTTAATTGATAGGAATTCAGTAAATACCATAATTAGTCTAGGTAAGCTATAAAAAAAGGATCCTAGAAAAAAACTGAAATATTTGCAAAACTTGAAATGCAGTAGTATAACATTTATTTGGTAAATAGGATACATTCCTAATATACAATAACAAAATTATAACTAACAAATAATTGATTGATATTCCAAAAATCATGACTTATCATCTTATTAGTAATACCTTCCGTTACATTTGTTATAAATATGATGCAGTAGATCAGTTTTAAACCTTTTTAAAGTTGAAGCTGATTTAATTAAATGAGGCAATTTGTTGTACGTATCAAAACCTTTGACATTTACTGAGTTCATACTGATTTTGGTATTATTTCTATGTATATGTATGTCAAGATTAGGTCTAGTGTAATATTTGTGAATATCATAATTAAAACAAATAGATTTTTTAAGATGTTCCAGTTAAATCATTAACAATTTTATGCACAAATATCATTGTCTGGTATAAAAGTCTTTGGGATACCGAAAGCCAATTTAGGGTTGTTAACATTGTAATTATGGGAGTATATCGGTTTCCTATCAATATAATTCTCATTCCTCTATTTTGTAGTTTTTGTAGTCGTGCCTGTTTGTTCAAATTGAAAGAGTATAAAATCGAAGTAGAAGTACCTACCTACATTTAACTCAAGCAATCTATGGTTATTAATGTTGAAAGAAATTCAATAATGTTTTTTCATTGATTTTTCAGGACTAGAATCTACAGCAATAGTAAATGAATATAGTCTATTCAAAAATACTAGTTTTATCTCTTGTTGACCAAACTTGGTCGGTGAAACATATGTCAAGAAGAGTATTACAGTTCTGGGAGTAGTGTTTATATTTGTAAGACATCAAAATCATTTTTTTGCACTTGGAGAAAGCAGTTATTGTTCACCTACCTATTGTTGATACACCCTTTATAGGAAGATAGTCTGGTGTTTTGTTTATGTATGTTTGATCTGGGTATACATAACAAACCTGTGCTTCACCGTTTTCTGCTTTATCTGAATGATATTTTCATGTCTGACTTGCTTTTACTAATTGACTCTTCCTCTGAAAAATTTTGAACATTCACTTTATTACGCCAGCCTTGTAACTTCTTCAGTTTAGATGATACGATTAGAATCCCATTAAAAAACTTAACAGTTACGCTCTGAGAGAGCGTGTTCTGCAACTGCCGATTTTTAGGACCATTTTCAGTTTCCATATCGCAGCAAGGTAGATCACTACGTCCGTTGCTGCATTGCCTTTGATAATGTTTGCCGCAGTAGCAGACGAAACGTCAGGTATAAGAACCAGCAGACCGCAGCTGATGAATCCGGAAATGTCGGGCAATTTATTCTATTATTTGTTGAAATCAGTCTTTTTTAATGGAGAGCAATACGAGGAATTTCAAGTATTATGAAAAAATTGGGTATTCCTAAGATATTTTTGAAATTTTATGTTTTTTAACCCCCAATTACACATCACTGACTTGCTATTGTCTGTCTATATGCAATTAACAAAATTATATCAATCAATGGTCACACGGTTGAGATGGGTGGTTTGCTCTACTCACACAATCGACTGCTGTGTGAACCGGTGATTCGAGCCGCAAGGCTGGACGATCCATTTCCACTTCCTATTGTCCAACCCGTGTTAGAAATCACACGTTAAAAGGTAAGACCTCGTTAGTCTTAAGCTCGCACCATCAAGGCAGACTTAATGGCGAACTTCGACCAAGATATACAGTTTTCATTTACAGTAGTTTCATATGTTCATAGACATTTTTCTTTGAAAACGACACAAGGAATATAACTCTGAAATCATTGATTTTACTCAAGAAACATCCTTTACAAATAATACAACGATCTCATAATTCAACTATGGCTGAAATAATTTACTGTTCTTTATTGAGCTCTGTGAGCACAAGAGTGTAAAATGTCGATACATTCTCACATTTACTTCAGAACGTTTCATATTTATCAGATTAAATTTTTTTACAGGTCTGAGTCCTTCTTGCTTTGCTAATGTACAGGCTACTCTGTCAACAAAAAAAGTTGACAGTCCCCTGATCATATCCGAAGGCGACCTAGTCGAAGTAACAGCTACACTAAATGAAAGCAGGTACTTCAAATTCTTCGTACCAAATCTGAACGACCATGCCATTATGAAAGTCAATGATATACATTTTTCCGATAACATGGAACAGCTGCTGGTTCGAATAGATATCAACAAACCCCCCTCAGAGGAAAAGTATCAAAAGCAGGAGAAGTTTGGTTCGAACGTAACCTATGCAGCTGTAGTTTTCTGGACAGAACCTGAATCCTGGCACTACATCGAGCTGAAGTTCTCAGGAAAGGATTCCATAGAAGGGCTCCACAGTAATCTAACTTTCAGACTGAAATTTTTTTCGAACCAGCTCACGAGGGAGTCTTCAGAGTACGAGCTGTTGCAAAACGAGACGTTCTATAACCACTCTCTTTCCAAAACGTTCCATAACTATAAGATTACTGACGTTGTTCCTTATAAGCACTATGATCTCATTCGCGAAGCGAGCAGTGATAGCTTTCTGTACTCGTATGAATTGGAGCAGGAACTGCATTCAAAAATCGCCATTCCTATAAACATGACCAATTCTCACTTCTCGCTCTTGAAGTTTAGGATAGGGGAAGGTACGGATATCGGAGGCACGCTGCAGTTCATAATGGCTTTCAAGCCTAGGGTTAAAAGATTAGACGGGTATGTAGTTCACTTCATGACTTTATGTGAAAGAATGAAGAATGAATGAATAATTTAAACTGAAACATAGATAAACCTCTTGAAGGCATTCGACCGGAAGCGTACAAGAACCACACTACTTAGAAAATTTGATATTCATAATTTTATAACAAAGTAACCTTTGAAGGTCATATTGATCACATTGATTGATTGATAATATGTTAATTTTTTAAGAATAAACACAATGTCATAAATAAATATTAATGTAAGCATGAAGTATAAGATGTGAAGTATAAATGTATAAAATGTAAATGATTATTTTTGTCCTTGTCATGCCACACTAATGTGGTGTCGTCAGCAAATAAGGTAAAGCTTCCTGTAATCGATATGTTGGTCAAATCATTAATGTATAAGAAAAACAGTATAGGACCTAACACATAGCCTTGAGGTACTCCACAATTTATCTCTCCAACGTCCGAGTTAGATGACTTTCTTACAAATTGTTTTCTATCAAAAAGGTATGAACAAATCCAAGTATGACTGTTGTCCCTAAAACCATATCTTGTGAGTTTACGAAGCGATATGCTGTGATTGACACTGACAAAAGCTTTGAATGAGTCACAAAGCACTGCTGCAGTGGCTTCCCTGCTGTTGATTTCATTATACACCAATTGCAATACTGTTGATGTAGCTTCACTTGTTCTCTTGAAATTCTGAAAGCCATACTGATGTGCACTCAATATCCCATTACTGGTTAAAAATTCCATTATTATTTTTTTTACTATACTAAAACCAATAATGATTGAGAGTAGAAGTAAGCCCAGTTGACAGCAAATCGGGGGCGAGCTCATTAATTTTTGAGAGGGTTAAGAATGAAAGAAAAATTCTTAGTATTATTTCATTAAAACTTTGCAATATCGTAATTTACCTAATCGTTGTAGTCATTAGGTGGGCCTTATGAAAACGGAGTAATAATCGTGGTAATTATAGTAGGTACCAAATAAATTAACAATATTAATAAAAAACACAATATATATATATATAT